CTCTCTCTCTCTCTCTCTCTCTCTCTCTCTCTCTCCCCCCCCCTTTGCATTTTTTCCTGCTGCGACTGTGCTTCTTCCTTAATACCTGGCTTCTTTATGGGTTGGCTGTGTGGGGGAGCCCCGGCTGCATCTGGTAGGGCAGGTCCAGAAGGAAGGTGTGTTGGCAGTAAAGGCTCCGCAGCCATGGCTCACCTTTTGAAAACCTGGGCTGGCAGGCAGGGTGGTCGCGTATTGAGGGTTTATGCTGCAATGTGAGGGTGGCGGGCAGGAGAAGGTGCCCTCCCCAGATAGCTCAATGTCTTAAGATGTGAATCTTGTCGGTTTCTCAACTTTCCTGTACTTTACCCCGCAAGAGTGGTATTTGCTTCCCCTTTTTTCTTGTTGCAGAAATCATGACTGTACATCCTAAGAATTGCCAGCTGTAAAATTATTTAAAGGACCTCAGTTCTGTTGGATGTTAAGGAGAAAGATTTCATGTCTCATAGTCCCTTTCCATCTGCATGGCTCCTTGGTGCGTTTCCCCCACATGCCGTCCAAGTTCAGCCTCAAGCTCCCATGAATTCATTTTCACAGGTCTTGTTTGGGGTCAAGTGCTGCTGTCTCCTCCTATCTTCCCAGAGTTCTGTCCTGGGTTGACACAGGCTCTTTGTGATCTGTGAGCCTCGTCCATGAAGCAAGAGCCGGACCACGCTTTATGCCTCTGTTCATGATGCTTATTGAACCAGCATTACTTGTCCATGGGCACTCCAAAAACTCAGGGGTCTTTGTGCTTTGGTGTGATGGAGGAAGGACATTCTCTCCAAGAAATTAACAGGTTTTCGACTGGGTTGGTTTAACAGGTGGGGTTGGTTTGCCCTTGTCTGTCTCTCCAGGATGGCTTTCCAGTCTTCTGGAGCGTGCTTCCTTTGAACCTGGACGACAGGATCAGCAGCACCACTTGGCATGACTGGGCAGCTGTTGAGAGTCCACTGGCAGTTGAGCCAGATTACTTGTCCCTGTCCTTGACTGGCATTTGCACGTGGCAGACAGGAAGCTGGTGTTTTGACATTCCCACAATACCCCAGTGGAATGGCACACGGGGCATTGTGAGAGCCTCTGAAGGGCAGGCAGCTTGCAGGGCCTGCCACAATTGACCCGGTCGGGTCTCCCCTGACCTGTCCAACCCAGCATTCTGTTCCTGCAGTGACTGAGCAGATGTCGCCCCCCGGGAAGCCCGCAAGCAGGGCCCAGTGGCCACACTTCTCATTTGTGCCCTGTTCTTTATGAGCACAGACAGCTTCCTCATACTGAGCAAGAACCTTGGTCCACGTAGTTCAGTATTACAGTCACTGGCTGGCAATGACTCTCCAGTTTTTTGGGTAGGATCAGGTAGGTTCCTGCCCTACCTGAAGAGGCCAATGATCGAACCATGGACCTTCATGAAACGGTGGTGCTTCACCGCAGTGGCGTGGCCCGCCATCATGTCTAGTACCCGCTGGTACGGCACATTCTTGAGCTGCCAAGGTAAACCTTTTGACTGATTTCCACCATTGCCTGGAAAGCTTTCTTTAGACTGGTGGTTGGGAACCTCTGAGCTCCTGTATGCTGGACTTTAGCTCCCCCATTGCTGACCATTGGCCGTGCTGTGTGGACTGATGGTTGTTGGAGTCCATTTCCCCACCTCTGCTTTAGAGTCACTGCAGAGTATGAGTTCTCTTTCAAACTGGAAAAGACCCTCCTAAAGCAGTGACAGATGGGCCCCCCTTCTGGAGACAGGTGATTGTGCCTTGACTCTGCCTGGGGGTGGGGGTGATTGAATGGGCCAGTTGCACCTGACATAGAAAGGGATGAATATTAATGCAAGCTTAGGCTTGCTGGATTGGGGTGATCTCCAAAGCTGTTGGTTAGGTGGATGGATGGTGAACCTCTTCACAGGTGGTACTTTGGATTTTCAGGTACCTTTAAATCTCAGGCCAAGGGGGCAAATCTGGCCTGCTTAGGTTCTCAATCTACTCTTCTAGGGTTTTCTAGAAGAGTAGATTTCTAACCCTTCCCCCATCCTTCCTAACTCAGTATAAGACATTCCTTGATCCTGAACTGCAAAACCTAGCTTATGTCCAAACTAGGCAAGGTGTGATTTGGTTATCCCCAGTTCCAGGCCAGAACTGGAATCTATACAGACCACAGATCCTGCATCTGGGTTCGAGCCTCCCTCATCACCTGTATTATGCTGTCTGAACTCAGCCATTGTAGTTCATGCTTGCTTAACTGTGTGCAGGGAAAATACTTTCTGTGAGTGCAGGACAAGATATTGTTCTCTACCTGATAGGAGGTGGTACAGTCCTCGCATCCTGCAGAATGCTTAGAATGGCTCTTGGTTGCTGTGCATTTTCCTACTATTTAAATAGCAGTGTTTGAGAGCTATTGCAATAAGGCTGCTGCGAGGGTGGGGCCCATGCCTTGCACAGAGGAAGTGATCCCTGGGAACTCCAGCTGGAATGGAGAAAACCCCTGCAAGAAGGCATGGTGAGTTTCTGCCAGCCAGTGCAGACAATATTGAGCCTGATGGACCAACTTGCAGTGTTCACAGAACTTGCTCGGAAAACATGATTGCGTAGCAGATCCTACAAAAGTTGGTGTAGCGGTTCAGAGATGGAGCGATAAATCAGGACGTCCCCAGTTTGAGTATGACCTCTGCTGCGAAGTCACTGGGCGAACACCGGAGGAGACCTACTGGACGAGGTCAAAGGCCTGTCCAGCTTTTTGCTTCTCATAGTGGCCAACTAGGTGGGGTGCCTGCAAGGAGCACGGAGATGCATAGAGTTGGAAGGGGCCTCTTGGGCCACCCTGTCCATCCCCCTGCTCAGCGCATGAGCCCAACTCAAAGTCCTGTGTCTGGGTGTCTATGTTGATGGGGAACCCGAGCAGGAAGGTGCTGTCGCGCTTGACACCGTGAGTTTCTGTGGTTCACTGGCTGGCTTCTGTGTGAGCAGAACCCTGGACTAGATGGAGCATTGGCCCGATCCAGCACAGCCCTCCTTCGGTTCTTATCTGTGTTATATGGCTGTCCAGTCTCTGCCCGAATACCTCCAGTGATGGAATGCCCACCACCACCTCAGGCAGTTGGTTTTATTATCTGACTGCTCTGACCATCAGAAAGATTTTCCTGATCTTTCACCAAAATCTGCCTTCTTGCAAGTTAAGCCTGTTAGTTCATGTCCTGCAGCCTTGGATGCTAGAGAACTGGTTGCAGCCCTCTTTTTCATATCCTGCCTCATGCAGATGTGAGGGCATTAGCCTCTTTTGCCCATGCTCCTCGGCAGCTCAGATGTACTCCTTTGATCCTGGAGGCAAGGTAGAACCATCAGGAATAGCAGCCATCTCCATGGTTTTGTCCGACCACCTGTTGAAATCATGCAGACTGGTGTTCTCTCGACATCTTGTAGTGAACGCCATCGTCTTCGCCACGCTGCATGTCCTCGGTGGCCTGCATCTCCTGCCATCCAGCTTCAGGGGATGATGGCCTCAGATGCTAATACAATGAGAAAGGGAGAAAACAACTCCATCTCTTCCTATAATACTGCTATAATGTTGATTAACCTTGTGGGCCTATTTTAATGCATTTGTGGAGGAGATGGCTACTGACGGCTCCTTGTCTGTGGCACCTTGAGTATCAGAGGCAGTATGCCATGTACACCAGTTGCTGGGGAACATGGACAGGGAGGTACTGCTGCAGTCATATCCTGCTGGTAGGTTTTCTATGGGCAACTGTACGAATGGAATTCTAGACTAGAAGGAGCTTTGGTGTGATCCATCAGGGGCTCGTCTTACGTTCTCAATGAAAGTGAAGGATTTTGAATGCACCTGCAAGTCCTAACCAGCTACTTAGGAGTGCTAAGTATAATTATCTGCCTGATAGGCATGCAGGATTGATGAGCAGCGGGTATCATGTGGTGTCAAGCTCTGCTCCCCGTGTGATGGGGGATTAAGGCAGCCTTGTAGAAATGTACACAGTTCTCATTTAATCCTTGAGGTCTTAGCTACAGCATGACCTGTGTTATCAGGCAGAGCTAAAACGCTCTGGCAACCTTCCCTAACCTCGTGCTGTATTGATGTTCTCACCTCTGTCAGCATCCAGAACTTCTGCCAGAATTTGTAGTCTCAAACATCTGGGCAGTAGGGTACCAGGGTGGGGAAGGCTGGTCCCAGGCTTACTCCTGGGGAATAGAAAAATGCTAGAAAAACCATGTTCTTCCTTCTGGCACGACTTCCTTGGCTAGGAAGACTCTGTGATAGCTGAGGGCAGGGTATTCCTGCTTCTGCCAACCATGCAATCCTCTGCATGCTTCCTCAAAAGTAAGTCCCAGGCAAACATCCTGGGAATTCTGGATGTTTTGGACTGCAGTTCCCACAATCTCTGTCCTTTGCCCATACTGGCTGAGGGCGATGGGAGTTGTAGCCTAAAGCATCTGCAGTAGAGCAGAGTCTAGGTCTAGGTTTGCCATACGCATCCCCTGAGATAGATCCTGCTCTTTTGAAACATGTACTGTCTTGAAATTTCCCCTTGCATGAGAAAATATTTGTCTTTCAGGCAATGTGTGTTTTTGGTATCTCAGCCTTGAAAATAGCTAAGCAAAACCCACCTGCCTCTCCACTTTCTAGGAATCTGCTTTGTGCAAGCTTGTTGAACAATTTGTGTTCTTTTTCAGGGCCTTCCCCAGTGTAGTGTCTCCCAGATGTTTTGGATTACAACTTCGAGCTGTCTGGGTCTGGTCTATCCTGACGGGCAGTGGCTTTCCAGGGTCTTGACTAGAAGCCTTCCCCATCACTGCTCCCTAATCCCTTTAATCAGAGGTGGACGCAGTCGAACCTGTCCATGCAAAGTAGGACATACA